CATGGTGCTCCAATAGGAGGTCAGGGAATGACTTACCACTTGGATGGTTCCAGCTTTGGGGACACTGTAACCCTTCTTTCCCAAGGCCTCCAAGTCAATCACTCCCTGGGGCAAAAGAAGCAGCATGTGAGAGAGGGAGAAAGCCCAGGGAGATCCCAGCTGGGACTCAGCATGGGGCTGAGACCCTCCTTGCCAGGAACACCTGGCACAAGTCAGTGAGAAGATGCCCAGCTCAGTCCCTCTCCAGACCAGGGGATGAACAACTAGCAACAGAGAGGTGACAGTGAAGCCACAACCATGAGGCAGCTGGGCAACATCCTGCCTGTGTATGTGCCTGCAACGGTTCCCTCTTCTTTCCCCTCTTTGCTTTTGAGGTTAAAGACTGCTCCTGGCACAGACAGCCATCTCCACAGGTAGGTGGTTGCTTGAACCAGGCTCTCCAGAGAGGGGCTGTCCCCAGGGTGCCTGGGTACAGCCCCCACTCACCTCCCCCATGGTCCCAGCCCTCCCTCATCTGCGTACCAGGAAAGGCGAGGGCGCACTGTGTTCGGAGATGTCAAAGTAGGTGACATCAACGGGCAGGGTGACATGCTGGGGGCAGTAGGAGCCGCTGGCACCAATCTCTGCTGTGAAACCCTCAATCCTCCCCGACGGTGCAAAGCGTCCTTTCAGGATGGACTCCTGGGAGGGGAGGGAAGCATCAGGGACCTTCCAACACCAGTTCTGCCCCATGCCTCAAAGCTCCAGGTGAGATCACCTCCACCTTCACTGCACCTATGTGTTTGCTTGCCCTGATGTGTACAGAAACCACCCATGAGGGGCCCCGGCTAATCCCTCTGAGATAGACCCATCCTCAACTCGTGGGATAAAATCAGCCGTCTAACATAGAGAAACAGCGAGAGTTCCTTGGCTCAGCCCCACAGCAGCCATCTGAGCAGGTTCCTCACTCTTCGTGACTCACCCAAGGGCCTGCTGCTTGAGCCATCTTACTGGTGGGTGTGTGATGGCCACTGTATGCCAGGCCCCTTGAGGACCCTACCCATCGAGTAGATGGTCTTTGAGGTCTCTTCCAACCAGGTTGATTCTATGATTCTATGACAACCAGCCCAGCCCCACACCAGGCTCCCATCAGGTTTAGTCTCTCACACCCATCATCAGCCTAGCCTGGAGCCTTCAGGACCCACCTCCCCTCTAGCAGGTGGACACCATTACCTCAAAGTTGCCCAGCAGAGCATGGCTGACGGTAGTGGTGGCCTAGGGTACTGTGGGGGACCTGGAGCCCCTTCGGAGACTGCTCCGGAGATGTCTCCTTGAAGAGAGGAGAGAAGATTGGTGTTGGACTGGAGAGCACACAGCCCTGGGCTATGTCTCTGAGAATGTGGATCCTTCTCCAGGTCTCCAGTCCCTTTCTTTGTTGGAGGTTGAACCCACTTTCCTACTCGCCAGGGGCAGAAGAAACCCCCTGCTGCCCCACAGCCTGGGGTCTTAGTGGGGAGGAGATGCCTGGGGCAGGGCAGAGAAGAAGATTCGACCCAACCTTATAAATCCCACAGGCCTGCAAGGTGCTGGGGTGGTCAGGCACCCTAAGCCCCTATGTGGGAGTCCGGGACACTCACGATTTGAGGCGCAGCCCACTCTTCAGCCTCCTTCCGACTGCAATGCAATCTGCAGAGCTCTGGAGAGGACATGAAATGGAGAACTGCATTAGGGCACCAAACAGGGACCATGCACCCCGGGAGGTGCCATCACCCCTTGCCCTGCCCCACAGCCCCATGAGGATCCCAGTAGATGGAACAGGTTCCCATCCATGGGGAGCCATCAGCAGCCTCTGCAGGGGTGGCCAGCAGGGTACCACAAGGACTGACGTGTCTGGTGGGGAAGTGGGGCTGCCCAAACCCCAAAGTGGCTCAGCTGGGGATGAGGCTGTTGGTAGCCAAGCTGAGGGTGCAACACA